TTATTATATAATTATAAAATAATCACAATAATAATAGCTAGGATTTAATAGGGCTTTAAGGTTTGCAAATTTGCTTTACATATATTATCTCATTTGATCGTCACAGTAAATCATTTGAATCATCTTAGGAAAATTCTGAAGATCATCTGGCAGGGTAAGGTACTGGACAATGAAGCCCTTTCTCGAACTAAACTGCCAAGCATTCAAACTCTACTGCAGAGGGAGCAACTCTGATGGGTTGGCCACATTGTTTGAATAACAAACATACACTTGCCTAAAAGATTACACTTTTACAGAGTTGCAGAGAACTCACACAAGGCAAGCACTCACATGGCAATACAAGGACATTCTCAAGGTCTCTCTGCAGAACCTTGGAATTGATTGTGTGACCTGTGAGACACAGGCCAAGGACCACCCATCATGGCTTGCCCACCTCAAAGGAAATGCCATGATCTAGGAGCAAAGCAAAATTCAAGTAGCTCAAAAGAAACAGGAAATGCGCAGATTTAGAGAATCCTCCCCAAATGTGCACGTATTTATGCCCAACCTGTGATAGAGCATTCCAAGTTCATATTGGTCTGATCAGTCAGAGTCAGATGCACTGTAATTTGACTCTAATACAGAGACATCATTTTGGTCCTCTTCAAGAACTACTAAACAACCAACCCTATGTGGTATGTGCTATCATAACCCTCAATTTACAGAAGAGAAAACTGAGGCGGAGAGAAGTGACTTGCGACACAGCTAATAGATGTCTGAAGCAGAATTCGAACTCAGACCTTTTAAATTCCAAATCCAAGGCTCTATCCACTGAGCCACCTAACTGCCTAATAGAAGTACATACGACAGTCACTCACATTTACATGGAGGTTTAGCTTTTTCAATGTCATTTCCCTTCTAAAACTTTCTAACGTATATAGAACAAATGATATCCATTTTTGACAGATGGGGAAATTGAAGTTTAGAGAGATAAGATGATTTACCCATGAACACAACAAACACAGCATAAGAATCAATATTTTACACCCAGGTCCCCAGAATCCCAAACCATCACAAATCCAGAACACGAAGATAAAGATTTCACCTAAAAGTATCACATCATAAAAGATAGAATTGTAAGCAGACACTGGGTGATCACTAGTCAAGAATGCTAGAGTAGGACTTCCTTTTCTATATGAATTGGCCAGGATGGTCACTGGGGCCCCTTGGACCTCTAACATTCTGTGATGCCATGGTGCTATGAAGTCAATGCAGAGTGGAAATGTTTCAGTGGAAAATGAAGGTACCTTAGTTGTACCCTTCAAACTCCTGACCACTGAGGCAGCCTCCTAGTCCTTTGCTACATGCCCATAGCATCAGTCCTGCCCAGGAAGGGCTGCTCAGGCAGTGAGAGTGCTGGACATTATCTCAGAGGTCACCAGATCCAACCCTGTCACTTACAGTCCCTCCTTTCCATTGGACTACACTGAGATTGCTCTACTAGAATGACACATTAATTCTTTAACTCACAGTTTTATTAGTATTTAAGTTCAGATTTTATAATGGATGAATAATAATCCACATTTTTTTTCTTTCTTTTTTTCTTCGATGCAAGGGATGTGAAGGGGAAAGATAATAGTTTGAAAGGTTTTTATTTAAATTAAAAATTAGAGTTAAATATATTAAACACGAGTACCAACCAAAATTTGCTGAAGGAAGTGGAGCTACCAACAGAAGGACATTCCCATAATTAGAGGGATGACCAGTTCTAGAGAAAATGAACAAGACACCAATAAGGAAGCAAAACTCATGAGGGAAGCCAATACCAGGCAGATGGGGAGATTTTGTAGATGGAAGAGGAGAGTGAGACCAGGCCAGACACCAGGGGAAAAAAATCCAGAGATCCCAGCCCCCAAGCAGAGAGCTCCTCAACAGACAAGGAAAGAGGTAGGGATTGTCAGATACTGCAGTAGAGCACGAGTCTTTCAGAATGTGTACTGATGGGAAATTCTAGGGGTAAAACTGTAATGTTCTCCCTCCTGTGTCTCCCTTGAACCCACAGGTTCGGAAAAAGATGGTCTGGCCAGCCAGCTCTCCCTCTTCTGACTGGGGAATACTGAGGGAAAGGCCCTCTCCCAATCAAAGAGCCCTGCCCAGAAAGAGGGAGCTGGACAGGCTACATGCTCCTTCACACTGATCTCACACCATCATCATCCTAGCATTTGGATAGTGAGTTAAGGTTGAAAGCGCTTTACCTATATGATCTCATATGACTCTCACAACATCTCTGAGAGGTAAGAGCATTATCCCTGTTTCACAGATAAGGGCCCTGAAACTGAGAAAAGTCAGTGATTTACACAAATTCACCCAATAGTTGAGACAGGATGCTACCTCAGGTTTTCCTAACTCCAAGTTCAGTGCTCTACCCACTATGCCTTCTACACAACATATGATGGGGTCAACTCCACTCCCTCCAGCAGAGACAGAAAAAAAAAACAAAAAAAGTTCCTAACTATACTGTCTATATAATCTGAAGCCTTCTACTTTGCTCCACCCAGTTTTCTCAACCTCTCCTAGTACTGAACACAAGTGTTTCTATTGGCAGAACCTCCTTCCCAGGCCCTTCCATTCGAAGCCCCTTGTCTCTCTTATCCCCAAACAGGAACCTGAGGAACTCCTCCCTCATTCCTGACATCACAAGGACCCAGAGAAACCACCCGAACCATCCTCTTGCCTCCAAACTGACAGAATGCACTTAAATGCTACCTACCCACTGAACCCTCTTTTCAGTGCCAGCCATTATGGGGGAGGAGAAGTACAGGGAGTCTTAAAACTCCCCTTAGATTCCAAGTGATGGACTTTGTGGTGAGTATCAAAAATTGTAGTTGACTAGTGGGGTGGGGACTAGGTGACAAGTAGGACCGGATCCTTTCCTGCTATCATCATTGTCATTGCTGTCGTCCTCATCATAGAAAGGCACCTAGAGTAACCTGGCATTCAAATGGTGCTTTCAAGTTGACCAAGCCCAGTTACATGCTTTATCTACCCTGATCCTCATCACCCTTGCCATCATCATCACCATCAGTATCATCATCATACTGAAGTCAGGAATACAGGGACTTCTCTACCAGTGAAACCCCCAGGTATAAATCTCTTTAAATAATAAAACCAAAGGATGATGAATTTAGAGCCAGAAGGGAGCTCAGAGATCATCGAATCCAATCTCCTCATTTTACAGATGAATATATTGAGATTCTGAAAATGTAAGTCATTTAAATAAGGTCTTATAGGGAATAAATAGCCGAAACAGGTCTCAATTCAGATCCCTTGACTATCTCCAGGGCTTTTATTACTGTGACGAAATATAAAAACAAAATGTATAAATATAAACATAAAATATTTATTTAAATATATAAATATTTATATAATATTGATATTTTAAAATATAATATTAATATTTTACATGATAATATTAATAATATATAATAAAATATTTATATTAAATATATATTGAATATAAAAACGAAAACAAAAATGTTAACATGGATCCTGGGTTTGGTAAGCAAGGGAGGCTGTTTCTTTAAGGAATTAGCCCCTGAATTATTTTATTTTTGGGGAGGGAAATGCTTTTGGAATTTAAAAAATCCTTTTTTAAAAATTATTATAAGTGAAAATTAATGGTAAATTTAGGTTTTTATGGGCCAAGTTTCCTTAAAATCCATGCACTCTAACCTTACTCAGACCAATCACAGTCACATCTCTATCCTCTGGATATTATCAGCTCAGTCTCTGTTCATGGAACTGTCAGATCAATTCTTTGATTCAAAAATCCTGTTTAGGTATAATCTATACACAACATGAATAAAATCAACAATAAAGAGTTTGGGGCAGGACTTGCAAGTGGAACATGTTGGTAGGTTCCAATAGTGAAACAATTTCCTTCTTATTTGCTTCTGACTGGGAACATGACCTTTTACATGGCTATGTCTCAGAGACAGAGAGACCGACAGACAGACAGAGGGAGACAAAGAGAAATAGACAAAGACAGAAACAGAGAGCCAGAGAGAATGAACAAGTGATTGACCTGGAGGATGACTTCATTCTGGAAGAGGAGGAAATTCTATCTATCCCAAGATATTTGAAGATCGTGGCAGAGTCACAGATGTGTAATAACCTAAAAAGCATTAAGAAATATTTCTCTATGGAATGGGTAGCAACATATGATGGAAAAGGAGGATCACAGTCCTTAGGGGACATTTATGTAGGGCATAAAGATGATACCAATGGGGACAAAAACAGACAAAACATGACTTCTATTTGAGCTGAGGGTTCCCAATCTTGTCAAAGAATATTCCTAACTGAAAGTATGATCTTTACCTCCTCTTGCTAGAGAAGTTGCTGCAGATATGCTTTGTCGTAGAATAATAACAAGAACCTGGACTTCATTTGGGGGGACTGTGGTTTAAATCTTTACTCATCTACTGATTGGGCAGCAAGAAGGGTCAGCGAATAGAAGGCCAGCCCTAGAGTCAGGTAGACCTGAGTTCAAATCCAGCCTCAGAGACTAACTAGCTATGTGACCCTGGGCAAGTCAAATAACCCTCTTTGTCTCAGTTTCCTCATCTGTAAATGAGTTGCAGAAGGAAATGGCGATCCCTTTCAGAAACAGCAAATGGGATCACAAATTTCACACACAATTGAAAAGACTGAGCAACAAACATACTTACTACTTCTGTGACTTTATACAAGACATTTTCAAAGTATAAGGGCCTCAGTGTCTTCATCTATAAAATGAGTCAACTAAATGAGGTGTCTTCTAACATCTCTCAACACATCCAAGATCCATATACTAGCATGTGTCAATGTATGTCAGTTTAGAGAATGTCAGGAATTGTCTGACACATGCCCTGAGTTGTGAAAGACACTCTTCTTCCTAGAGAGCTGAGTCTCATGCCAACAGCTCAGCCTGGGATGCCCTATAAAAGGTGTCCCTGTCCCTGGCTCCTTACCCACACTGGTTTTTCAGCAGAGAGTTTCTGTCTGTGTCTGTGATCAGGGTGAGTGTCTTCATGAGAGCCTGGGGAAGGGCTCGGAAGGGGATGTTAGAGGAGAGGGAAGAAGAGTACAAAGCAGTGGGAAGGAGGAATGGGAAGGAGAAAAGCAGAGGGAAATAAAGGAAGATATATGGATAGAGGGCCTGGGGAGGAGGAAAGAATTAAAATGAGTGAGAAGTACAATGGCTGGTGAAGAGTAGAAACTTGTACTTTGGATTTGGTCTGGAGTCTAGATTGATAGAGACTCCATTGGGATGGGCCCAGAAAACAATCAGAAAGGGTCTAGAGTCTGTATAAGGGTGCTGGGGAGGAGGAACAATGATTTGAGTTTCTATAAATTTTCATGAACTGGAATTCAAAAGGTGCGCTCAGGATGTCAAGTGAAGTCATCCTCTCTCTTCTCTAGGACACACATACCACTATTTAACCTGTAAGACTCTATAATTTTCCTAGTTCTGCAATTCACAACAGCTATATAGATATAATACATGCATATATAGAGGCAGAGAGAGGGTGAAAGAGAGAGAAAAAGAAAAGAGACAGAGAGACAAACTCAGAGAAACAGAGAAAAGGATGATAGTCTCCTCAATTGATGTAAAATGCATGTTCCTTCAACACAAATTCTACCCTACATGCATTTTAATCCAGGAATGATTTTGTTAAACTTTTTCCTTCTGGATATTGATGTCTTCTAGGGCAAAGTTCATCATCATATTGTGGATTAATTCCAGTTGAAAGAAGTTTTTAAGGCTCATTTTCACCCATCTGAAAAAATCCTACATTGTCTTTCAGGTTTACTGAGCACCACCAAGATGTCCTGCCAGCAAAGCCAGCAGCAGTGCCAGGCCCCTAAGTGCCCCCCTAAGTGTCCTCCCAAGTGCCAGACCCCTAAGTGCCCTCCTAAGTGCCCTCCCCAGGCTCCCTGCCCTCCTCCAGTCTCTTCCTGCTGTGGCTCTAGCTCTGGAGGATGCTGCAGCTCTGGGGGATGCTGTGGGTCCAGCTCTGGGGGGTGCTGCAGCTCTGGCTCCGGGGGCGGCTGCTGCCTCTTTTCCCATCACAGGAGATCCCACAGACCCCGGCACCAGAGGTCTGACTGCTGTGACAGTGGCAGTGGGCATGGCCAGCAGTCTGGGGGCTGCTGTGGGAGCTCTGGGGGCTGCTGCTGACCTGGTGCCCTGACCTAGGAAGAGCAGAAGAGGCAATTGATTGCCTCTGCTCCCTTTTCTCCTCACTTCTTAGCCTCTTCCCTCTCTGCCTTGATTTGACCTGTGCAGGTGTTCTGAGGACACTGAGACAACAATCAAAGCCTATCATTTCATTTTCTCTCAACTTCCCAGAATTCAAACCATCTTTCTCTTCCTCTTCTATCCCAAGCAACAATAAAGATTAATTTTTTCTGCTCATACCTGCCTCCTATTCTCTGTTCTTTCCCTTTACAACTTTCTTCAAGATTCCCTTCTTGGTAACGAACCCACAGAGCCCTCTGATTACTGCCTTGATGGATTGCCCAGGCAGTGACTATTGGTGGGAGGGCTGGGAGGCTGAGTTAGGTTCCCTTCATTCTAACTCAAGGGAACCCATAGAGTGTCTGTGTAGAAATCAGTGAATTGTGACAACCATCCTTCCACGAAGGGAAAAAATGTGTCAAAGGTCAGATGTCTCCAGATCTGATGTACTGGAGAAAGGGTAAATTTCAAGCCTAGGTGAAAAAGAGAGAGGCTAATCAGGTGGGGGAACAGCCTTCTACTTGAAGCAGAGCCTTGTAAGAGAATTCAGGAAAATCTGGCTCTTTCTGTTAGGTCATTTGAGGTTGGGGTGACTAAAGGACACATGATCTATTCCTACTTACCCTTTCCCTCTCTATACTAGTCCTGGCTGTCTGTTTGATCCAGAGCACAGGCATATCCAATACTGTCCCCCATTCTCAGCTTTTAGAAAAGTTCTCTCTCTGGCACTGGGCTATCTCTCTTTCACAAGTTACAGTCCCCAAATCTCAGAAAAGTTGTAGTGTTTCTGAGGTCTGCCATTCTTTGACCCCTTTTCCTTTTAATAGAATTCTCCCAATTCCAGTACCCATGAATAACTCCCAGGTCCTGTCTTCTGACTCAACTTCCCTCCCTTTCTGGGTATTGTCACATGTTTTCTGGACCTCTATTGGCTGTCTCCCTTTCCTCAAATCTCCTTATACGAGGGGTCCTAGATATAAGTTGCATTTCAGTTGCAGAAACAATATCACGAGATAATTCATTGACTGAGCTTGGCAACAAAGAAATGAGAAAATGCCCCCTCTCTTCCTTGCCAATATGGAGGACTTTGGATGTGGAAAAGGGCATATGTTGTTGCACTCAGCTGGCCTGTTGGTTGATTTTGCAAAGATTCTTTTCTTTTTTTCATTCTTTGCTCTAAGGGTTAGTTCACTGAAGGTGAAGTCAAAGAAAATGTACCATAGTTATAAGATAAGTTAATTCTTTATTATCATGTAGCCCAGACTGAGGCTATGGGGATCCTCATCTCAACTCTCATTCTCCTTGATGAGTGAGGTCCTACCTCCCCTACTGTGATCCAGGGGTACCTCCAATAGAAACCTTTGGAACATTGTGTTCTCCTTAATATTAATTTTTAGTAACAGTATCTTCTTTATATTGGTGATAACTACCACGGTATTATTTAATAAATTAAAGTCAATTAGTTTTTATACAAGGATCTGTTGAGAAAATGTAGCAATATCAGAAGAATAAAAATTTCCCCCAACCCCAACCTCTGGGGACCCACTCATCCCTATAACACCTGGAGCCTTAAAAAGAGTGGTCTCAACCTTCAAGCAGTTGCTACAAAGTATTCACCCTCCCCAAATTCACTTCTTAGTGTAGCACAGTTGATGAATGAATTGCTCTCCTTCCCTTATGGCTTCCTTGGATACTCTGCCTGGCAAGCTGAGCTGAGCAGAACTTTGCTCCTCGCTAGGCATGTCTGTCTACAACACGTATCACTGACTATATCTCCTCGTCCCCATCCCACTCATCAACTACAATTTTAGACGTTCAATTTCTGATGCTCCAATGTCAGTTTCAGAATCTATAGTTAAACCCAGCTCCCCAGAATCCAAACCCAGCACAAATCCAGCACCCAAAGATTAAGCTTTCACCTAAAAGCATCACATCCCAAAAGGTGGAATTGTAGGCAGAGATTGGATGATCGCTAGTCAAGCGTGCTAGAGTGAGGATTCCTTTTGCGTATGATTTGGTCAGGTTGGTTACTGTGGCCCTTTGGAACACTAACATTCTGTGATCCCCCAATGATGCTGTGAAGCCAATGCAGAGTGGAGAGAAATATTTCAGTAGGAAATGAAAGTATCTTAGTTGTACTCTTCAAATTCAGGCTGGGCTCCTAGACCTTTGCCTTGTGTCTACAGCAATAGACCTGACCACAAAGGGCTGCTTGGGTATTGAGAGTGCTGGAAGGTTGCTCACAGGTCACCTAATCCATCCATCTCCCTTATGGCCCCTTCTTTCCATGGGATACAACTGAGGCTTCTCTACTAGAATGGCACATTAATTCTTTAACTCCTCACTCTTTTACTATCATTTAAATAGAGATTTTATCATAAATGAGTAATAATAAACATTTTTTTCTTTCCTTTTTTCTTCTATGAGTGGAAAGTGAAAGAAACGATAAATAGTTTGTGAATTTTGTGTTAATTTGAAATTCAAATGAATTCTATTAAAAACAAGTAAAAACCAAAGCTTGCTGAAGGAAATGGAGCCACCAATAAAAGGACATCCCCACGACCAGAGGGATGACCAGGTTTAGAGAAAAAGAACAAGACAGTAACAAGCAAGTGACACTCACCGGGGAAGGCAAGCCCAGATGGACGGGGAGATTTGGGAGATGGAGAAGGAGAGACCAGGAAGACACGAGAAAGAGAAATCCAAAGATCCCAACCCCTCAGCAAAGAGTTCCCCAACAAACAAGGAAAGAAGTAGGGATTGTCAGATACTTCAGGACAGCACAAGTCATTCAGAATGTGTGCTGGAGGGCAATTCTGGGGGTACAACCATAGGGTCCTCCCTCCAATTGGACTGAACCCACAGGTTGGGGAAAGATGGTCTGGCTGGCCAGCTCCCCCTCCTCTGACTGGGGAATGCTGAGAGAAAGGCCCTCTCCCAAGCACAGAGCCCCGCCCAGAAAGAAGGAGGTGGACAGACTGCATGGCTCCTTCACACTGATCTCACACCATCATCATCCTAGCATTTCTATAGTGAGTGAAGGTTGAAAGCACTCTACCTCCATGATCTCATGTAACCCTCACAACAACCCTGCGAGGTAACTATCATTATTCCTGTTTCACATATGAGGACCCTGAGGCTGAGAAAAGTCAGTGCCTTACCCAAAGGGACACAGTGAGTGAGACAGGATTCAGCCTCAGGTCTTCCTGACTCCAAGTTCAGCACTCTACCCACAATGCCTCCTAAACTACATAGGATGTGGTCAACCCCACTCCTTCCAGCAGAGGGAGAGAAGAGTTAAGCAAAGTAAACAACTCTTCTGAGCTATCCTGGCTACACAATCAGAAGCTTTCTACTTCCTCCCACCTGGTTTTCTCAATCTCTCCTATTATTGACAGGTGTTTCTATTGGCAGAGTCCAATGCCGCCTCCCCAGACCCTTTCGTTCTGGGCCTCAGCCTCTATGAAGCTGCTTATCTCTCCTATCCCCAAATAGGAACCTGAGGAATTCCTTCCTCACTCCTGACATCACAGGGACCCACAGAAACCGCCTGAACCATCCTCTGGCCTCCAAACTGACAGAACGCATTAAATAACTGCTAATATAATGACTGAGTCCTACCCCCCCTTTAGTCTATTGTGGGGGAGGAGAAGTACAGGGAGTCTTAAAACTTCCCTAAGGTTCCAAGTCATGGACTTTGTATTGAGTGTCTAAAATTGTAGTTGACTAGTGGGGTGGGAACTAGGAAGCAGCACTGGATCCTTTCCTGTTATCATCATTGTCATTGCTGTCTCCTTCATCATCATCCTGACCTAGAGTTACCTATCATTTAAATAGTGCTCTCAAGTTGGCAAAGCCTAGTTACATCCTTCATCTCATGTGATCCTCATCACCTTTACCACCATCTACCCCATCTTCATTACTTAAGTCAGCAAGAATGCAGGGATCTCTATACCCATGTATCTCCATACCCCTGTATCTCCATATCCATACATCTTCAGGTGTAACTCACTTCAAATAATAAAACCAAAGGATCATGAATTTAGAGCCAGAAGGGAAGTCAGAGGTCATTGAATCCAATCTTCTCATTTTACAGGTGAATACATTGAGATTCTGAGCACGGCAGTGATTTAAACAAGGTCTCCCAGGTAATAAATAGAAGAGCCAGGGCTCTCACCAACATCCCCTGACTGTCATCCCCAAGGTTTTTGCTACAGTATCATGTATCATTAAATATAAAAGCAAAAACCAAATATGTTAACTTGAATCCTGGGTTTTGTGAGCAAAGGATGTTCTTTTTTAAGGAATCAGGCTGTAAATTCCTTTATATGGGGTGGGAGGGGTGCTTTGGCAATTAAAAACAATGTTCTTTCATTATCTTCAGTGCATATAAGAGGCAAATTTAGATGTTTGTGGACCAGGTTTCCTCAAAATCTATGCCCTCTAACCCTACCCAGACCAATCACAGTCACATGTCTATCCTCTGGATATTATCAGCTCAGCCTCTGTCCATGGGCCTGCCAGATCAATTGTTTGACTCAAACATCCTGTTTGAGGACTGTTTATACACAGCATGAGTAAAATCAACAATAAAGAGTTTGGGACAGGACTTGCAAGTGGGACATGGTAGTGTATTCCAACTGTGAAACAGTGCTTCATGTCCTGGGATTCCTTTTCCACCTTCCTTTAAGTGGAGAGATATTCTCCAGGGGGTGTAGAGGAAAGACGATGGATATCATTCTTACTTACTTTTGACTTGGAATATGAGCTTTTATATGGCTGTGCCTAAGACGGACAGACAGACAGAGACAGAGGTAGAGAGACAAAGACAGAAATAGAGAGAATGATCAAGTAATTGACCTGGAGGATGACTTCACGATGGGAGAGGAGGAAGCTATGTTGATCCCAAGGTGTTCCAAAGTCTTGGCAGGGTCACAGGTGTGTAATAACTTAAAACGCAGTAAGAAACATTTGTCTATGGAAGGGATGACATGATCACAGTCCTTAGGAGACATCCATGTAGATAGGGCATAGAGATGATACTGACAGGGACGAAAACAGACAATACAGGACCCTAAGAGTAAAGTACAAATAATTTCCATCTTGCCTCCATCAAACAGGACTTCATCCATGCATATACTCCCAATGACCCAAGGTAGAAATAATCTCTCACTGCCTTAA